AGCAATTCAGGTTATCTACTTCTTCTTGAGGGAGCATTGGCAGCTCATATTTCTCAAGATATTTGTCTGTCTAATCTGAATAGTAAATATATTAGAATAAAGTGGTTCATAATATTTCCTTATTCTTTTTAATATCTGTGGTTATGTCCTCTCTTTCATTCCTAATATTGGTAATCTGTGCCCTTTCTCTCTTTCATTTTTCCCTGTGATCAGTCCAACTAGAGGTTTATCAATTTTGTTAATATTTTCTAGGAACCACCTTTTGGTTTTATTGATATTCATTCTCTCTTTCATTTCTATTTCATTAATTTCTACTCTGATCTGTGTAATTTTCTCCATTTCTAATTAGGGTTTTATTTGCTCTGAGAATTTTTTTTCCTAGTGTACCAGGTAGAAGCTGAGGTTATTGATTTGAGATCTTCTTCTTTTCTTATATAGCAATTCAGTGCTATAAAATTCCCACCAAGTACTGCTTTAGCAGCATCTTACAAACTTTGGTGAATTGTTATTTTCATTCCATTAAAAATATTTTCTAATTCCCACTTTTCTCTTCAACTCATCAGGTTATTTAGAAGGTATTATTTTTTGTCCAAATATTTGTATATTTTCCAGAGATAATATTGTACTGATTTCTAACTTAATCCCAGCATAGCCAGAGAAAATACTTCATACAACTTGAATGTTTTTAAATTTATTGAGACCTATTTCATGTCCCAGAATGTTGTGTATCATGTCCCATGTGTATTTGAGAAGAATATGTATTCTGCCATTGTGCACCATGTTTTGGAAGTGTAAATCAGGCCAGATTGGGTGATAGTGTTTCTATGTCTTCTATAACCTTGCCAATTTTCTCTGTACTGGTTTTTTCAATTATTGAAAGAGAACTATTAAAATCTCTCGAAAATTGCATGTTTTTCCATTTCCTTTTGCAGTTTTCTTGATTCTTGCTTCCTGTGTTTTGAAGCTGTATAATTGAATGCATGAATGTTTAGGAATTGACTCCTTTGTATTTCAGGAAATTACCTTCTCCCTAATAACGTTCCTCCATTTAAACTCTGCTTTGTTTAGTGTTAATATAACTATTCCTGCTTTCTTTTGGTTAGGTTGGCATAGTATATTTTTCTCCATCCTCTTCACTTTCAACCTATTTGAGTCTCTGTATTTCAAATTAGTTTCATGTAGTCAGTACCTAGTTGGGTCTTGCTTTTTGAATCTCATCTGACAGTCTCTGCCTTTCAGAATATTATTTAGACCATTTTCATTTAAGGTGATCATTCATATGGTGCAGCTTAAATCTAGCACCTTGATATTTGTTTTCTATTGTACCGTCTGTTTTAACCCTTCTACCACTTCTTTCTGCCCTCTTTTGGATTAATTGATCACTTTTATTTTTCTTTTATCTGTCTTCTGTTTAGTATCTATAACTTATTTTGTTATTTTAATGGTTGCTTAGGACTTCAAGGTTACATTTTAAATGATCACAGTCGACCTTCAAATGGTAGTGAACCATTTCATGTATAGTATAAGAACCTCATAATACTTACTTATTTTTTTTCCTTTCTGCTTTTTGTTCTGTTTTGTTCATAAATTTTATTTTTTGGTGCAAAGTAACTGTTATTTTTTTGGTTTAAGCAATCAATTGTCTTTAAAGGAGATTTAAATAATAACTAAAGCCATATATATACTTACTTATTTAGTTAACATTGTGGTGCTTTGTGTAGATCCATATTTCCATCTAGTATCATTTCTTCTGCCTGAAAAATGTCCTTTCACATTAGTGGTAGTGAAGATCGGATGGTGATGCATTCTTTCTGCTTTTGTATGTCTGAAAAATCTTCATCTCACTTTTGTCTTTAAAAGTATTTTCAAAGGGCATAAAATTCTAGGTTGCCACTTTCTTGCTCTCAGATCTTCAAAGATAATTTCTCTACCATCTTTTTGTCTGAGTTATTTCTGATGATAAATCTGCCATTATTCTTACATTGTTCCTCTGTAAGTGACATGTCTCTTTTCTCCAGCCACTTTTAAATATTTTTCTTTAACAGTAGTTTTGAGAAATTTAGTTACAGTGGACCAGGTGTGCTCCATGTGGCTCCTGTCCTTTTTTGCCACTGGCTTGTGCTTTCCACGGTGAATGACAGGAATAAAAAATGACCAAGTTCACCATGCAAGCACCTTTCAGTCCTTTGTTTGCATTGCACTTACTAACATCCACTGGCCAAGGCATGACACATGGGCAGCCCCAGGTCAAGGGATGAGGGAGTAAACCCCATCTATCTTGAGTCCATGGCAAGGCTAAGCATAAAGATTATGCTCAAATTGTACACTTGTACTGGAAGATGTCCAGTAACTTAGTTATATATCATAGATGTCCCTAGCAGAATACACTTCATGGAACATAACACAGAAGAGTATCATAATTACTAACTTTTGCCACCAGATATTTTCCCCCACTGTGGCTTCCACAGTTTGTCTCATTTCTTAGGAGCACATTCCAGGTCACCTCTTCCAGACTTTTGATGGTGAAATAGTATTTAAGATCAAGTTCCCAAAAGCTTGAGAATGTTGGGACCACATCAGCTCCACTCTAATGGTGAAGCAGGTGTAAAGAATGAGAAAAGATTAGTTATTTTTTTGTGATATTAAGGGAAATTACATGTCACTGTGTTTCAACATGTCATGACAGAGCAGTAAGTACTTCTGTGCCCTTTCATAAAGGAATATTACATACACAGGCAACCCCTTCTTATTCGCTTTGTAGCTCTTTCAAATTACTCTTTGATATGAATGCTTTAAGGGCTGACCCTCAAGATTATTGGAGCAAAACCAAATAAACTGAGCTTGAAGAAGCTAGCTACACATTTTGAAGGCAGCCAACTGGTATTATGGTTATTTGATGATGGTAATTTTACACAGATACACATCTATGAAGAGTAATTAATAACAACATAGCTTCCACTTTCAAGTATCTCCTGTAGCTTATATACAGTGCATTTATTGTCTTTCTTACTCATGGTAATCTTACTACCTATTACTACTCTCATTACTCAATGAGAAATGGAGGCTTAGAGAAGCCGAATTAATTGCCCACACAGAGAGACAGGTGGCAAGTGGCAAAATAGGGTGTAAAGCCAGCTACACCTCACAGTCTCAGCATAGCTCATTACTCTATGCCTCTTTTGATCCTTGATCTGTAGGTTCCCATCCAAGCTTCCTTAAGGGGATCCATTAGGCTCATAAATGACTAATGGGCATATTTGTGTGGGCTAGATTTTTAAGGGAAATCTGCATAATTCTTCTGCAGGATCTTGGGGCTCCTGTTTGAGAATATGAGGCCAGATCTCAGGGGCAGCCTGGAATAGTAGTGGAGTCAGAGGGACTTGGCTATGCATTCCTGCCTCAGCACCACAGCCGAGAGACCCAGGTAGCCAATGACCAGACCAGTCAGCCCATTGTCCTCATCCATGAATGAGGAAATGCTGCCATCTGCCCCATGATATTTTTAAGATTTAGACAGTGCAGGTAAAACACAGTTAGAGAAATATAGTAAAATAATTCTTGAAGGAAATAATAATGTTGTTATCAACAGACTGCTGCAAAGTGCATTAATGTGAGTTAATGCTCTTACAGATAAAGTTCTTAGAACAGTGCCTGGCACATTCCAGATGAAATATAAGTGTTTACAAAATGTTAAAAATTTACTCTGTACCAGTATAAATTTGGTGAAAAATCTCATGAAGATTTTGAATAGGGGCCAAAAGGAATCAGTTGACAGTTTGTGATTGTAATCGCTAAAAAAAGAAGAATCTCATAAGATCATCATCCTTGTGAAATTTAACAAGTCTATATGAGTAATTGTGTTGCAAAATAGATAACTCGAGACCAGTAGCATGATGCATAAGCAGAATTCCTTCTATAGGGAATCCACACATATACTAAAAAAGCATTATCTGTTATGCCCCCAAGCTTTTCATATATTTGCAAAGCTTTAAATTGTATGTCTATGATCAATGTTAATGAAAATAACTCCTGTTCTTTAAAATTTTTCACTAAACATCTGTATTGTTATATAATACTTCATCCATTGTTGTAACCTTTCAAGTTCTCAACAACAGATGGTCAAAATTGAAGCTTATGTCAAACATCAAAAGCATGTAACTCAAATTGTGTGAAAACCAACCCCAGTTCTGTTCATGTGGTATAATTTATGGGGTCTTTATTTTTGCTGTGTATCTTACTGTGTGACTCAAGCCATAGCTGGGCTAACTTCAGGCCCAATAAATCAACAAGTGGTAATGTTTAGCATTAAAAAGATTTCGCTGTTACCATAACAGGACTTTCATTCTGTGTCCTGCTTGACCTTCATTCTTTCTAATCCAAGAATGATCCTGGAGTGGAAGCCCTTTTCGCAGTATATGTTGGGGGTCTTGGTTTTCTCTCTCTCCTTTGCACCCTCCCTCATGCACACACCTGAGACAGTGTTATGGGTAGGAAGGGACCACATGGTAACTAAAGCATGGGAGAGGATGCCTCCGAGGGCCGGGGCAGATGCCATGTGGTCCCAGTAGACAACAATCCCTTCCTTTGTAACTGCTGGCTTCACAGGGGACTTCACAGCACTGGGTTACTGTCACGGGTCTAAGCCTTGGCCTGTTTTACCCATCTGGTCATCTGTAATTCATGATCTGAGGTTCCTGAACTAGCAGGGAAGGCAATTCCTTGGGTCTTGGTGGCTTCAGGGTACATCTCAGGCATCCTCTTTGTTGGCTGGACATGGAGCTGGACAGAGGACAGGAGCTGAAGCCTGGGCCATGTTCCTGGGCATCTTCAGCTGGGCTTGGCCAGAGTTGGTTCTTTCCCCTCTTGGCGCGTTTAGCTAGTGACTCTGGGGGCACGTGGAGGAGCCACCTGAGCGGTCAACGACCAAAGCATGTTCTGGAGCTACCAATGATATAAGAGGGTATCCGTGGTGTATGTCAAGTTTTGTTTTATTTTAACAGAATGAAGTCCCTGAGGTGAAGAAAGAGGAGACTTTGCTGGATCTGGACTTTGACCCTTTCAAGCCCGAGGCAGCATCTGCGGCTTCTGCGGGAGTGACCCACTCACCCATGTCTCAGGTATCACGTGGTCTTTCACCTGTTTGGGGATGATATTTCATAAACTTTAATAAGCTCAGAAAGGCAACAGATGTATTTCAGGGACCCCGCTTTCTTTCAAATGACTATGTACATTTTTTTTTTAAAGAGATTTCCTAATAGGAAGGAAGGGTGGAAAGAGGACCTTATCAGTATTAATCATTCTAAACCTCCCACTACCATTAGCTTTCCCTATCCTTAGAGCTGGGTTGCCCATACATTCCCATCTACCCAGGAATTACTCTCTCTGAGTAATTTTTAGTGGTACCCCTCTGCACTCAGAAGTGTCTCGGTTTGGATATTTAATGGCTTCACTAAATCACTTTCTTTTGGCTTTGGGTTTAATCTTCTTATTGATTTCTCTGCTTTCCTTCTTCACACTTTTTCAAGCTAAGGCATGTTTGCAATAAGCATGAGAATATGTCCCAACAGAAAGGTTTTCCAGTTTTGAGAGCTCTGAACTTGGTGGTGATGTCCCCCTCTGTTGCCAAAACCTCCCTGTGTGATCTTGATTACGGCTTGATGCAGAGCAGGCCTTGCTGAACTGGGCTTATCCTTGCTCATCACTTCCTCACTCATAACGTTTTTCCAATTTCACTAGGTGTTGTGATAACATTCTTTATCAGAGGGACACTGGTGGCGGGTGCTTTGATCACCTGTGGAGGAGTCCTACAGCATGTAGTTACTTTGCAATTGTCTATGCTCGTGGAAAAAAGTTAACTCAAAATGCAGATTAAAAAAATGGTTTATGTCAGTATTTTTGATGTGGTTGGGAGCCTCATATTTGACTCTGAGCAAATCCAAAGATGCTAGAATATACTTCTAATTAACAAATGAAGGTATATTGTAAAACCCAAGGTAGGAATTGAGATCCAGCTCAATTTTCTGGTCTTGATGCCTTCTTCGTACCTTCCAGGAAAGCACTAGAGAGCAGACAGTTCAATGTGAACATCAGTAAATAAAGCTTCTCTTTAATCCATGCTTGGTTTCAGAATGTGATGGGCTTTCTAAAACACTCTCTGTTGTAATATAGGACCAGCAAAAATATGAGATGTCAATAAAGCAGGAAATTAAATAGATTAGACTCTAGCCTTTGGTACTTTACAAAAAATGGGTCTGTCAGATGAATGTTTCAGAAAGTTCTATTAACCCCCTTTTAGGAGATTCACAATGTGCATTAGAGCATCAAAGGCCCCGAGAAGTCCTGCAATTCAAAGAAAAACTGTTTAGATTTGCTTAGTTTAGAATTTCCCAAATTTATCCACATGAATTTAATTTAATGAAACATTCTAGCATTCTTTGGAATGGTCTCTAAAACATGCTTTGGGAAATACTAACATGGTAATTATCAGCAGGTTTGAGAGTTCTGCCTTGGTGGCCAAGAAAAACAGAAAATGAATGTACATATTATTCAGTATATTTCCTTCTCAGAGCTTTCTCATTATGTCAACAGCCAGCAGAGTTCAGGGAACTTCATAGGACTCTGCCTTACTCTCCAAGACTCATAACTTTAGGGGCAGAAGGAAAGTTTCCCCAGTAGCTGCTGTTGTGATCAGTGGATGGGGTTCCTGCAAAGTTGGGTCAGGAGAGAGACCTCTTTTATATCAATTCATGGTCAAATTAATCCATAAATCATGGAAGTTGGTGTGGGTTTAGGACTAAGGAATTCTTTCAGAATTAAAAAAAAAAAATGACCCTGGTTAACTCTTCAAAATTTGGGTTCTGAAGAAGATGCATCATCACAGTTGCAGCAAGTTGTGTGTGGCCCAGTGTTTGTCCCTCAGTCCAGGTCACAAAGCTCTGGGCTTCCTAGGCACCCTAATTGAGTCACTCCCCTGCAGAGTCACCCTGCCATCCAACTCTAATCACGTCTTCTCTTCTGTGATGAAGGCTGAGGCTGAGTAAACAAAAGCAACAGGTTCTTCTGGCCTTCTTTCCCCTTCACTCAAAGGATCCCCCCCTGCCATCACCTGACCCTGTGTTCTAAATCGACATTCTTGCTATAGCAAAGCATCTCACCTTATGATCTCTTCAGTGTCCACATGAGTAGCACATCCTTTCGCGACCCTGAGGAGTGATAAACATGACATTTTCATTGTTGCCTTCCTTTGGAGAAAATGCCCACACTGTCTGCATTATGCAAGGACGCAGAGTCGCTTTTAGGAGCTGTGATTCTTAAAGGGCTGGGAAGCAAGGAAACATGAACCATCTGGGTAATCAGAAAAAGCTTACTAGATGCAGGAGGAGTCCATGTGCAAATAACTGGGCTTTCCACAGGGCTTCCTCTGTTCGTCACTCAGCAGTTAGGTGCTAAACCAGAGACCAGCCAGGCTGCACAGAGATGCAGGCCAGCTAGGCCCAGACCAGGGAGGGGGGTGGGTTGGGTTAGTGAGGCCCACATTCTGTACATGGAATCCAACTGAGTCATCTGTAATCCTGTCTCCAAACTGTCGTATTCTTAAGTAGTGCCAGGCTCTCTAATTTGCTGCTGACATTTAGTGATTCAAAACAAGCGCATATACATGCGTTCATTTTAGTCACAAAGACAGGCAGAAAAGTTTGTGGCTTTAGCAGAAATTCTCAATCATAAAGGAAATAAGAGAGGTCTCCCCCACTTTCTCCACATAGTGGAAGTCATTTGAATCATCTGGATTTATTTTCCAGGATCAATAAGCTTTAAAATGTGAATGCTGGTAGTAAGTTTAACTCATCCCTACTCTTAAGGTATATCCTGCTAATTCGCACCATTACCTATTAATTGAGTTATGTGGTATCATCTAATTCGACATATTGAAGAACTACTTTTCTGGGGTTCATTTACCATCAGGCTGTTCACAAGGCATCCTCTTGGATTTGGTGGGGTCAGAGAGGAGATCGCATTAGCAATGATCAAGGTCTGCATTTCCTTGAAGATGCAATGAACTCTAAAATGTGGACATCCTTTTCTCTTCATTTTAACTGTGTGTGTGTGTATGCTAAAAAGTAAACCCATTCAGTTATACTTATCTACTCATAAAGCAAAAAGCAGATTGATTGGCTATTTAGATTTAAATTGATAAAATTATATAAAATTTAAAATCTGATTCTTCTACACTAGCATATTTCAGTTACCCACTAGCCTCATGCGACTAGTGGCTGCCATACTGGATGGCACAGATATTGAACACTATTGTCACCAAAGAAAGTTCTGTGAAACAGTGCTATATCTAATATTTCAAAAATGTTTATGGTTCTATTTTAAGAATGCAGCTCAGTATTTTTTACGTGCTTGGGATTTGTATGCTAACTGTATTTTTGTTTGTCTTTTTGCTTTCAGACATTGCCCTGGGACCTATGGACGGTAAGAGTACTAAGAACTCTGTATTTGTAACGTATCTGGATCTCTAGAGACTTGGCAACCTTGTTATATTTTATTTAATCTGTGATGGAAAGAAGACCCAGACATTTTTAATGATAATGTAGTCCTCTGGGGCATCATCAGCTCCCTGATGGTTCCAGGTATAACCAACACCTGGGAACAGTGGGGAGAAAAGTGTGTCAGTGTGTCAGACTCCTGGGTACACAAGAATTTCATGTCGTGTCCCATTAGGCTTTGTCCTGTGATACTGGTGGCTACAGGAAGTGTTGCAATGAAGGACATCCACGCTTGTTATTGCTTTTAAATAGAATGTAAGAAAAGTATGGATGAGAAGTTGCATTGCACAGGCTTCTCTGCACAGGGAACCATTTTCTCATTATTGTTTACAGTGACACTCAGTCAATAAGAATTTGAGCTTTAGAAACAGACAGTCTGGATTTGAGTCCAGACTCTACTTCTTATATAACAACATGACTTGAGTAATCTATAAAATTATTTCAGGCTCAGGTTTTCTCATCTATAAAATAAGAGTAATGACATTTACCTCAGAGGGTTGTGGGAGGATGGAGTAGATAGTGTTTGAATAGTTAGCCCAATATCTCATATGTATCAGTAAAAGGTAGCTATTAGTACTAACGTTATGTATTCAACTAATCCCAAGTTCAAGGATCAGTACTTACAGAATTTAGAGTGGGAAAAAGACACAGAGCTTTATGGTGATAGCATCTATGCTGTGAAATTAGGAGACTGAGCACACCGACATGGAGCCTCACATCCCTGGGGGTAGGTCCCTTGTCTCCCCTGTCTTAAAAAAGCCCTGCTTCTGTGGTCTTAAGAACTCAACTTGAGTTTCTTGTTTTCTTCCTTTTTAGTGAGAAGCACAGGGAAGTTTGGTAGACTGAGTTATTCCCGAGCCTAGTCTTCTGAAGTTATTTTGCCACTTTCTTCCCAGAAATATGGCTGCCCTTTCCTTTCCACAGGACCAGGTTTACAGCCCTGCACTATGTAGCATCCTTGAAGCATTACAGAAAGCTCTCAAGAGAAGAGCTAGAAAATGTTGGTTGAAAACACCTTTTGAAGTGAGCTGGTTGTATTTGTACATTCCCAAAAAGGGATGCAGGCGCTGATATTCAGGACATTTGAATTCTAGCCTCAACTGTGTGTGAAGTTTCTTGGATAGTAAAAGGGAAATGCTCATGTTTTATTATTGCAATATGTCATATCTTTAGTTGGAGCTCTAATACATTTTCCCCCATACTGGGAAGGGTACCATGAGGGGGACGGTATCATACAGAAGGAGCACTGACTGCTCCGTAAGACAGACCTGCCAGGTGTGGTGACAATAACAAGTTTGCAAAGCGTAAACTCCCTGGACGCTGTTGCTCCATTTCTTGATCCCCTCGGCCTCCCAGTGTTGTTTCTTTGTCTGGCGTTTAAAGCTTCTAGTTGTGGAGAGAACATGAGGAGAATCATCCAGGCAGTCAGAGAGGTTAGTATTAGATCTCCCTCCCCCAGCGTCCACCTCCAAGGCATCAGCTGTGCAGGATGGGTTTGGGGAAGATGTTTTCTGATACTCTGTCAGAGCAATGATACTGTGTAATGTTACAGCTACTAGTACGAGCCTATTCTGGTGTCCTCAGGCTCACTTATTCATTTGAAGCTTTGCATTTCAGGGTCCTCTAAAGCAGATGTCATGCAACAGCATAAAGCTCTTTGTTGATACTAGAAAGTGAAAGAGGCTGTCTTCATGCTTCAACTGTGTAGTCTTATTCAATATTAGAAAAAAACTCGTTGCTCTCATAAAACCAGTTGTAAAATTTAGTCTCAAACACTAAAAGTTACAGATTTCAGGAGAGTGTTGGCTCTGGATGGCATGGAATTTTGATGTGCAAGGGAATTTTTTCTCACCTTATGATTATGATTATGATTTTTTTTTACTCATACAGACGAGCACTGATGTGGTACAACCGGTAGGTAAATATCCAGAAAATTCTGGATTTTTTTGTATGTAATATGCATTATAAACATGTATGTTCTCTAGAATGAGCTTCCTTTTATTCATAGCACTGCTTGTCATAGATTTAACCTCAAGCCATTTAATTTAAGTGCTCTCTAGTTTTAACTGGTGCTACCTTACTGAAGAGCTTTGTGTTTCTCATCAAATCTTACCATATCTATTTCATCTTATGTTTTTTTTTCTTTGCTATTCTACATACTCTAAAGACTGAGTCTTCAAAAAGTGTTTCCCTGTGTAACCTGATCATGGAGGAAACTCCAGACAGTGGGTTGGCCGAAGACATTCAAAGTTCTCAAATTGACCTAGGTGCATTTATTTGGGGCCCTGATACTAGTACAGAGAGTGTCAGCCAGGAAGTTATCCAAGGTGGGTCTCAAGAAGACTCTTCATGTCCCTCTGAAGCAGAGCAAGATGTGGGATTATCGACTGGTGTGCTTCCTTCTGCGGACTGGCACATTGTAGCCGAAGAGGGTGAGCATGTCCTGGGGCCAGCCCCTCCTTGTGTAGACTAAGAGCTGTCAGCCAAGCCTGTGCCTGAGGCTGAATGTGCCCTTGCTGCTTGTGTGGAGTTGGGACAGCCTTTTGACTTGTCTGACTCAGAGATGCCAGCCATGGAAACTGGTGCCCTGGTCAAAGAAAGCCAAAAAGACGCTACAGATTCAGAAGAGAAAGAGAAACAGAAGATAGAAGATTCTGTATGGGCAGGTGTGGAGACATGTGAAAAGGTAGATGCTGGAGCAATTGATTGTAAGGCACTAGAAGGTACAGAGAAATCTGAAGAGAAAGCATATGAAAGCAGAGGGAACAGGGTAGTAGATCTTCTTAAGACAATAGGAAAGCAAGGCCAGGAGACCTTAAACATTAATAAAGAGGAGACAAGGGATGATCTAAGAGCTAGGAGTAAGAGAAGTGTAAAGACCAATGGAAAGTATCTTGATGAAACTGGTGTATTGGAGAAAGACACAGGAAAAGTAGATATGGCAGATGGATTTGGTGACAGAGACCAAGGGCTAGATGAGGGGATTCAAGTAGTAATAACCAGCTGTGAAATTATGCAGGGCTGTGAAACCAAACCTGCCAATCACACAGACAGTTTGACTCTGTCCCTCCAGACTGCCTCTGTATCCAGTACTGAAGATGGCGGCCTGGAGGGATGGGGTTTAGCTAAAGAAGATGTAAAGAAAAACTTAATAGACCCTCCTAATCATAGTAGATTGCATCATGCAGCACAGGGCTGTGCAGATACTGAAGGGATTCAGTGTGAGGCTGTGTTACCTGTTCCTAGAGTTGGCAGAGATGAAAGTAAGGCTCTTGTTCTATCAATAAAACATGAAGTAGCAGCTCAGTCTAGGGCAGATCTTAATTATCCTTTGGAAACTAATGCCAGCAGAAGAGATTGCTGTTTGTGTAAGGCAGAAGATGCATTGATAGAGGGGTCTGGAAGTACAGTGACTGAGAACATCATTGACTTGCCAAGAATTGTAGAAACAGACTCTTGGGGAACCAATCCAGGTCAAATCTGGCAGCCTAGCTTGAATTCAGCAGTGAATAATATGGATACATTGGAGTTCTCTGGTGTACCAGATGGCCAAGCAATTGGATTTACCAATTGGTTTGATTCTATTAACCACTGGCCTATCAGAGATGTGGGAGGCTTCTATAATTGTGGAGAATATTTAGATATAGTTGAAGGCAAGAAAGGTCTGGAGGTAGACTCATTAGCAGAGGCATGTGAGGAGCAAACCATTGCTGACTGTTGGAAACAAAATGAAGAGGTAGCTAGACCTTTGGTTCTGGGAACCAGAAGTTCTGCTAGTCCCCAAGACAATGACATCAACAGCTCAGATTTATCTGAAGATGAAATTGCTAACCAGAGATATGGATGGTTGTACCAAGAAATAGAGCCTGATAAAGAAGAGGTACTTACCCCAGTATGTAGTATAGACTAGCCAAAGACTTCTGTAGGTTCTGTTTTTCCTAATGTTTCCCACCTACTTCATTATCGTCACTGTGTTCTCTGAGGCTTGCCTCATCCCCTTGACAGATTGTCGTGTACCTCTTGATGTATGTGCAAACCAAACACAAATAGGTTGACAAAAAACAGAAAGATTATATAGGGTACTAATGAGAATCTATTTTATCATTCTATTTACCATGTTTGTTCTCTTTGCATTTATTTTTGTTGCTCAAGCACTAAAACTATGTGCAACAGACTCATTTACTGCTCTCAAAGTGGTTCCACCCCAATAAGAACACAAGAAATGTTTCTCCCAGTCCCCGTGAAACTAAACTGTCATAATAGGTGCTCATCAAAATGATGTATTACAGAGATACTAGAAATACTTCTAAATTCTGTCAATGGCCTGAGAAAAAGCTAGTCAACCCCTTGTGGCTTTTCTCTGGAATCATCCTTACTGAGAAACCCAGTACTGAGAAAACGGGCTTTGTTTAGCACTGAACCACACACCAGCAATGGTTGTGAAAGTAAACTTTCTTTTTTGTCAGCCTATTAAAATAATATAGTATGGCCTCTTTCTTTTCCTAAACATGCATGGCATCCTTTTGATTATTTTTAAATTTGTGGTGATTTTTTTTTCCAATTCGTCTAATAGACATTTACTGATCCTACACAAGTGATAAAAAAAAAAAGTAACATACTCTGATTTCCATTTCTGTTTAGGCTTCTGGGGGCTCATTTAATGGATTCACCCAGGTAAGAAATTTATTTGCTGACACAATCTATCTGTTGAGAATCTGTTTAAAATATAGACCTCTGTGTCACTGAAATAGCATAGTGTTTAAGCATGTCAGCATGAAACGTGACCCCAGTACTTACAAATCCCGTCACGGAAACAGTAATAGAAGCAACACTGTAGGTTTGTTATGAAGTTTAAATGAGACGTGAGTGCAGAGCACATCACGCAGCAGCCTAGTGCCATCTAAGGGCTTCGTGACTGTAATCAGCTATCAATATCATTAGCTATACCAAGGAATTCTGCTGATTCCTCTCCTAGAAATTAGAAGTTGTCCTGATAGGAGAGATCACTAGATTCAGCTGTTGGAAAGAGGAGCTAGAACCATTTTGAATTAATGAGATGGGTCTTTAAAAAATAGAAGAGATTTTTAAGAGTCTCTTTATGAAGATTCGTATAAAAGCCATACTACACAGAACCTGATACCTACTCAGTGGTTGTTTAGAAAAGAACTGTTTGAAATCAGAAACCACAGACTGGCTCTGTCCAATATGCAGTATTTCCCTTGGGAGTTTATGGAAGAGAAACCACAAAAGGGACTGTCCATGCTCTGATATGTCCCAACAGATGGACAGTTGTAACCCATGTAACAAGGCAGGCCACATAGCTATCCAGCTTGTGAAATAAGTTCTGAAAAGTTCTTCAAGAGAGACTGCACACAGATGCTTATATGTGATGAATGCCTTGTCTCAGAAAATCAAACATGAACAGTGTCAAATTTTAATATTTAGAACTACTCCATTTAAAATTTTGATTATCTTCCCCCATGTTACCTATAAAAAGATAAATCCCACACATGCTCACACCCCCATACAGATACACACAAACCCAGTGGGGGCTAATAATACATCCCTTCCATCTGCATAAAGCTCTTTTGAAAAGTTAGGTAATAAGAATTATTATTCATTTCTCATTTTTTTGAAGTTGGTGTTCTTATCAATTATAAATACACATAATTGAAACAGTAACAAAACGTTGTAAGAGTTTTTATTTAAGAAGTTCAGACCATCCCACACCCCCTCCATTTCCTGTTTCTTAGCAGTAAATACTTTCACTCCTTTTAACAGATTCTTTGATTTCACCCCCATGTGTGTGCATGACTTCTTACCACACTGCCTCTGGATTTCTAAACATTATCTGTTGACTCATCTCTCTGTAAGGTGAGGACTTAGAGCGCTTTCAAACTCCTATGCTCGCAGCGCAGCCCTGTCTTCTGCTTCCAGCCTTCCCTCTGGTAGAGTTCCACCACAGCCATCCAGCCAGTCTGTGACAGGACTGTAAGGATGATGTGAATGCTATCAATGTCCAAGTCAGGGAGTTTGCATTAACTCCTATGCCAAGTCAGGGAGTCTGCATTAACTTTCATGCCAAGTTTTTCTTCTCCTTTGAGGAAATAATTGTAGGATCTTGTGTGTTTGCTGGTTGATAGGTTTGCTTAGTTTTTAAGGAACTAATCACTAATTCAGCCCCATACTGTGTAGTTATACAAATCTCCCCTCATTCTGTTGGAAAATATTAAATATTCCATCAGTTTCATCTTCTTGAGGAACCTGCCTGACCACCCTGGTGGACTGGCCGGTCTGACAGGTGCTCCGTGACGATAGCTTACAGTGGTTTCCACAGGCTCTCCAGTGTCTACCCTGTCTCTCTCCTCTCTCATGTCAGTCCACTCATTTCTGAACACAGATCTTCCTTTTATGGAGTTTAATCCCACACATTAAAACACATCCTCATGCACAAATTAAAGCCCATGTATCAGTAACTTCCTAGGAAAAGTGTATTTGACAAGTATCTATTGATGACCTTATGCATCTGAAAATGTCTTTATCTGGGGACATAATAGACACAGTGAAAACTGCTAAATATTTTTTTCTTTGACTTTTGAAGCCTTTACTTCACTCACTTCTACCTCCTAGTGCTGTTACTGAGAAACTGTCATTTTTGATTCATGATATTTTGAATGAGACCTCTCTCTCCCTCTCTGCTTCCTTATATACCCCTTTATCTCTCTTTCTGTCTGGAAGTTTGTAGAAGCTTCTTTTTACCCTTGTGTTTCTGAACTTTGACAACACTGTCCTATGGCCTGAGGTTATTTTCATACATTGGGATAAGCCTTTTTAACCTAAAAATTGATGTCTCAGTTTGATGGAACTTTTTTTCAGTTCACTGATGGGTTCTCTTTCATTTTCTTTGTTCTCTCATTTTGTAACGCCACTCTTTTTCACATGTTGTCTTCCTAAGTCAGTCTCCTAATTACATTTTTTCTTAGTTTTTTCCTTTCTTCTTTCATCTTTCTCTGCTTTCCAACTCTTCTAACAGATTTTTCACATCTGTATTGTACTTTTAATTTCTAAGAGCTGTTTTTGTTCACTGAATATTTGTTTTTAATAGTATCTCTTCTTACAGATCACAAACATAGCATCTCCCATTACATATCCAAAAGTATTAACAATGATCGTTTTTGAAGGTTTTTTTCCCCCTGGCAAAGTCTTTGTTTCTGTTGCTTGCTTTTTTTTTAAACTGTTTGGTTTCTCTCTTTAATATTTGAGAACTTTCCTACCTGTCTGGTGAACTGGGGTGTCTACTCCTATTGTAGACTGAGACCCTAAAAAGTAAGAGGCAACTCATGCCGACAGGTAGAGCTCATTGAGTCTGGGAATTATCTAAGCTTTTCTGGCTTCTCTTTCCTGTGAGAGGCCAGTGATACTGGATTCTTGAGGCATATTTTTTTTTTCCTTGAGCTGGTCATACTTCCCTGGGAAGACAGTGCTGGTCTCCTGTCTGGGGGTAAAAGCCGGCCGTCCAGTGTAATGGCAGGTCAGTGGGGTCAGAGAGAGAGGGGCCCATGTTTTCAATACTTTAATGTAAATGCTCACTTAATCCTGCTATTTTCCTAATATGCCTGTGCATCCCCCAATCCAGAGACCATCCTGTTTCAGCATCTGTGGAAATAATCTCAAGTCTTGTGCAGCGGTTAGGGGATATTGCTTAGTTTTCAGACTTGGGTATCTTTCTAACAGACTTTCAGCCACCTCCCCTGTCCTCACACCACCCTAAGTTCCATTTCCATTCTCCTCGTGTTTCTAAGTCTTAATCTATTGGGGGCTCTGAGTAATGAATTGGGTTGCTTTTTGGTATTTCTTATATCACCTTAGGATAAGGATTGTTTTGGAACTACCAAGTAATTTATTGCTCATTCCTCTGCTTTTTAATTTCAAAATTTCGTTGCTATTATCTTTCTTCCCATTCTTTCTACACCTATGGATTTATGCCTTTAATAAATTTGCTTTATACAATTCCCTTTATTGTGGTTTAGTCTGCTTTCTGGAGGTAATATGGGTAATTGGCTCAATCCACCATCTTGAACAAAACATCACTGGTCTATCTGCTCTGTTGGGAGCCCCTCAGGCCAAATTCTGTAGGTACTTTTTTTTTTCTTGAATTGTTCAGATTACCCCGGAAGGACTCTTCTGGTCTCTGTCTGGAGAACATAAGCCTGGCTCCCAGTATAATGAGAGATGAATATTCTCAGATATCACTGTTTCCTTAAATTTCCTCCAGCTTGATTTTTTTAGGTCAGTGGACATATTATATACACAGTTTTTAAGTTATGACTTATGAGTAACTCATAGAAGTCATACTTAACTGGTATAGGAAGATTGAATGTCCAGCATTTACAAAGTTTACATTTGTAGCTTAAAGCCACGAAATTCTAATTCAGTATAAATCTCCAGAAGAGAAGCTGTGCACCAAAGATGCCCCTGTAGACACTGCCCTTTATTTAAAGTCTCTTACTGCATTATGTATTATGCTAGCTCAGATTTATCTGGAGAATCACTACTGTTAAAAATTACTTTTGCATATTTTGCTTTTCTGATTTTAAATAAAAGGAGATTTTCTAAAACTTTGTAATGCATTTGTTGGTACAATTGATGGGATGTGATTTAAATGATATCTTTGTTGTTGTTTAGCAAATTAACTGGAACCTTAATTTTTAACCTTCTTTTTTCTCCCTTAATTTTCAGCCCCAGGACACTTCGCTATTCACAGTGCAGACAGACCAGAGTGTGATCTCTAACTTGGTAAGTTGATTTTGGAGTGTGCCTTGGGGAAGGTATTGGTCACTGCTGCCTGTTCCAAGGTTGATCATTCCAGGTTATCTAGAATTTGAATATCTAGAATGTGGTTTCTGCAGCCCACTGTCTTCTAGAAAATAGGAAGGGAAGCTTCCAAACATTCTCACTGTGACTTTGAATTTGGTTGCTTCTGTTTATAAAGGCAAAAACTAAATTCCCCATATAATGGGCTTCAGTAACACAGAAAATCCACCTAGGACTTGTCTGTTTCCACCTGACTCTAATTTAGTTTATAAGATTGAAAGTGAACTTGCCTCAAGAATTCATGCTTCAAAATAGCCTGAATTTTCTTGAGCCTGAAGCTACTTCACTTCTCATCTCCTCTTTTCATTTTGTGAGTTGGGAAAAGAAGTAATGCATAGTAGAGGTGGGGTTCCTACTTTGCTTTCAAGTGAGATGAGCTAGGGAGTGAGTAGGAAGCAGAGAGAGTTACTCTTGGTGTTCAAGGAGATTCTTGCAAGACCACTGTTGCACTTACCATGAGAAAGAAACCTTTCCATCATTGACGTGCTAGAAAAGTGGAATGAAGAGACCTTGAGGAATATTGCTGTGAGCTTGTCAGTGTGATACACTATGCAGGATTTTGGCTCTTTCGGAGTTCATAAGGGTTATTTGTAGCTTAATGGTTTTCCCATGGGAATGGTGTATAATTATCCCAGCTCCTGGTCTTCACACTGGAAGCTTAGAATTGGATTAAAGTAGAATGAATTTTTCTTTTCAGATGATTTTACTTTTAAGGAAGGAATTCTGTTTTGAGAAGTCTGTCTTAAAGGTTAATTTGATATTTTTCAAGGGCAGGCATGTCTCTAATACCTTGTCCATAAATTGTCGAACTTTTGCCTTGTGGATAATCAAGTGAAAGACAGAGTCTTTTGTAGCCTGCAAATAAATATTTAAATGTTTAAAATATAAATTAGATTGGTGTTAATGATGGAGGCAGAGAGACTCATGTTTCATGCTCATTGGTGATTTTCAGCCTGGGAGCTAAAGGATGAGATTTTTAATTATCAATTGTGAATGGGTTAAGAAAAATGGAGAAATGCTCGTATAAAAGGAAAAGCAATGGGTCATAATTAAACTCATGCCTATTACTTTGGTGCACAATCCCAGGCATAGAATTCAGTAGTGTTTCAGTGTCTCTGAACACCCCCTGCCACCCTACCCTGGCCGCAGCCAGTTCTAGGAGCTGCCATTGCGGGCCCTTCCCGCTCTTGCTGGGTGTTCTCTGAAGCAGGCACCTTGCGCCTTCTTTCCACTGGGGAACTTAGTTTGGCCAAGCCCAGCATTGCAAATGCAGCTAACATTAGCTCTGCCCTGTGAGGAACTAGGGAATTACAGTGAACCTTGGTCTCTCACTGAGTTCTGATTATAAAGGATCTTCCCCAGTGTGGGACCATTTCCCAACATTTGGCTTATGGACTGACCTGAGCTAGGTGGAGGCTGGTTGGTAGTCAGCCGCACATCTCCCCAGCCTACGTCTTGTGGCCCTGCAGGACATCCCCTGAACAAATCCCTGTTGAATCTGAAAACCTTGCTCAAGGCTCAGAGTTGCCTCCATAGCCCTTTGCAGTTCTCACTAAATGAGTTCTACCAAGTTTGCAGAAGCAGGACTATTAAGCAAACGCCATACTGGGATGTGAGGAGACTCTTAACTCCACTGTCTCAACCCAACTCCTCTTCCTCTGCATTGACCAACGTTCTATCTTTACCCAGAGGACATCAAAAAATGTGCACTGAGGCTACACTACTCATTTTGTTCTAAAGTAAGAATTCCATTTCTGAGTCTCAGAGTTAAAGCATTGTGGCATCCTGCTGCCACCAGTAAATGCAGAGTGTACCTCTCCTCTGAATGGGTAATGATCACTATCCTAGCAAATGACAGCAAATCATTACCAGGGCTTCTAAATGGGTGTGGCATGGTATCAACCCATTTGCAATGTCTGTCAAGGGAGGCATCTGGTAGAAAAAAGTTGAAGCAGGGCACTATCCTAACAGGACTATTTTTGATCTTTTCATGAGATGTTATTTGCAACTTACCTTTGTTTTTCTTGCTATTTTGACAAAATATTTACAATTTTACATTGTCTTAGAAGAAATAGAGCTGATGTATATTTCCATATGTCAGTCCCTGATTTTAGGTACAGTCAAGCTATGATGTTTCATCCTTACTCATCACTCAGGGAGTTATATTTGTCCTCCTAGAATTTGAGTTGTTAAGGGGCAGTGCTATATTGTAATATAATAATGTGATACTATAATCTAGGGAAAAATGTTGTGACTGGTGGGAACATAACCAATCCTACCTCCTCTTTGTGCCATGCTCCTGTGCATTGTCTGATTTCTGCAGGCAAATGCACTTCGGCTCACTTATGAAATCACCCTACTTATTCTTGCCTTATATAAAACTTTAAAATTTCTTCAGACTTCCAAAAAACCCAGACTCTGGTGCCAATATTTCTTCATTTTAAATTCTCTTTATATTGGGTTTTTTTTCCTTTAATGGACCACAATGTGTTTACTTGAGTGATAATTTGAAACATCTCTTGACTCATCTGGCTTCAGACCTCCTCCATCTCAGCTCACACGGGTGGAGGTTGCGGTGGGGGGGGTGCCATCTGCATATGGATTTCCCGGTGCTCTGCCAGACTACCCTTCCTGTCCATGTTGGGTAGGTCCTTTGATACTGTCCTTTCATAGCAAATAATCTTGACTACCAAAATGGTGAGCTCATACCCTAAGAGCTGATAGTAATTCTTTGCTGCTTTGAAAACTTGTTCCAGTACAGAGGTAGTTCTCTTTGAACAGTAAGAGTGAAATATTTTCCCATAAAGAGCTCTTGAGACTTTATTCGAGTAAATTTTCTCTCATTCTTTCTTAAAATGTGTCAGATCACCCCTTAAATGTCATAGAAGCCCATAAAAATATCAAAGTGTCTTTCATCCCATTATATCCTTTAGAGAGAAGGGCATGTGATCATGGCATGTGTTGCAATGAAGGATTTGGTAGGTTAAAAGACAAGTATTGTATACTTATCCAACACTAGGCTATCGTTTGTCATTTTCTATAATCTCAGCATAACTTCTACGTTTCTTCCCATGGAATTTGTGTGCACCAGCCTCAGTGGACAAGCAGGAGAACTAAAGGTGGCTTTTGATTGAGTTACCGTAGGAGTATGACAGGAGTTACTGATTTATCCAATCAGTGTGTTTACTGGAGATGCCTTACTCTTCTAGGAAAACACTTTAAAATTTACAGTTTAAGTGTGCTGGTGGAAAAGATCTTAACATGCCCTCTAATGGTCATCCCCTTAGTGAAGTAATCCTACCGAGCACCTAGGCCTACTTAAATTAATCTGTTTAAATTTAACCTACTTAAATCAAAAAGGAGGTTACTTTTTCAGTAGCCATGGTAATATGCATTGGCTATAGTGTTTTTAATGGTCTTTTAATGGCTTGGAGTGTTTTTAATTTATTTAATGTTGCTAATTTTAGAACTATGAATGTCTGGAGCTAAGAGATTCCAGAGGCTTGATTCAGCACATAATTGGAATCCAGAGGATGTCTATGTATAGAGGTGACAGAGGGATGAAAGACCTTACTCTTGTCCACTTTATTAGAAGAGTCTAACTGGTACCACAGAGGGTACTGCCCTGTGATTCCTTAAAGAATTAATTTATTATATGGGGAAAAAAATGATTGCTAAGGATTTTGTTGGAGAGAGAAGCAGAATGGGGGTGAACAGGAGTGTGCAAGGTGGTGAGTACCTGTGATGTGGGGACTGCTTGCCAGGTAGCTGGGTGTGCTCCTCCTAGCCGGGGCAGTGCCACAGTAGCTTCACAGTGACCTATGCATGCAGCTTAATGCGTTTTGATCTGAATATTGGGATGACCCCTCGAGGTTTTGGTGTGGTAACTATCTGCAGAGCTGGGTGGTCCAGGAACTGTGTGCCCTGTGCTCCTTCCAGCTGGCAAAGCTGGGAGCTTCTAGGACCTCCTCTCTGCCAAAGAGCAGGAAGGACCACTCTGGGATCTCTTACAGATGTCATAAGAAATGAGTAATCAAAATGTTGCAAGTCACTACAATGAGTGGCCAAAACGGTAAGTCTGCTCTAACTTCAAGGGAAATGACGGTGCTTGAGGATGGTAAAGAGAAGCTCACTTAGAGTCTGTTCCTAGACTTTTCAGTCCTGTAAAGGTCCATGAGGCCAGACGTGGACTTCCTTTCCAGCACAGACTTAATGAAATTAGTTGCATGTAGGAGGATGAAGAGATTAATTGTCCAATGTTCTGTGATGTTACTTACCTTCTCACATGTTGACTCTTTTTCCTTTAACTCTCAAAAAACAATCAAAGGCTGAATCTGAACAGGCTACCCCAGCAGAGCCAAAAGCAGAGGAGCCCCCTGCCGGTGTGGCCCCTGCCGTTGGGCTGGACACTGGACCGGACACCGGGGCTGAGCGGCCAGTAGAGGGGGCTGTGGTGAGCACGACCTCCCTCCCACCCTCCGTCTGCCTCCCCTGCCACAGCCATGCTCGTCTCCTGACCCCATGTCTCCCTTCTCATCCAGGCTCCCTCAGGCCGAATCACCTCCATACCCACCAGGGCTCCCCACGGTCAAATAGCCTTTGGTCCTTGTGACGGTGAAACTCCATTTTCTTTTATTTTTTTAAAAAGGAAGATATCCAGACACCTGATCTTATTATGATCTAGAGAAGACTTTTCATTTGGCAGAGGCTTGGTTCTCAAAAAAGGGTGCCTTAACTCTTCCTGGTACCCTCGCATTCATGGCCGGTGGGATGCAGAACTCGCGATCACCAGACTTGTTAATGCTTTGTGCTTCCCGAGGTGGCGGGACCTGCGCCTAAAGTGAGGGACCAACCTGCAGGGCATAAACAGCAGGATAATAATTGTGTTGGTTGTGTCCACATATTGATTTCTTATAATATTATAAGGTTAGTTAAGGCCCAGTGAGGGATTGAAATCCCATATTAAAAATCCTATGTGTAGGACTCCTATGTGTATAACCATTTGCTTAAAATCAAGTCTGGTGCTGGCTTTTAGTAAGAGCAACCTTGAGGATGTAGTGTGTGCAAGAGTGGATACCCATTTGTCTACCTGGAAACCTGTTCTTACCCTCCATGCAGCCACATCCACGCCATGTCGCAAGCTAGGATGAGCTCTGCAGGCGCCATGTTGCATGGGATAGTGTAATACTCACGAAAATATAGAATAATAGCAAGGAAAATGTATTTCAAAATACCTGTGGAGAGTAAGAGAGTTTATTTATGAAATGCAGTTCAAATGTCTCCCAAGAATTTAAATCAGGGTACCACTTACTACAGCCTTCATAGAATCTGTACCCATCTCCCCACTCCCAAAAATAACATTGCCTACCTAGATTAGATGACTAGAGAAATAAAAGTTGTATTTCTTGCTGTTGTTGTCTTAGGTTATTTTACTGGAAAAAGGGTAGGTCATCTGTCAAATCTATAGTTTATTAATAGAATAGAAAAATAAATAATAGGACATGATAGTGATGGGAATTACAAATTAAGAATAACTCAATAAAAATTATCATGTTTTCCACTTAAAGATACAGAGTTGGACCAAGTCCTATAGGGAAAACAAGAAACATGTGCCACTAGACTGAATCCCTCCTAGAGGAGCCGCTCACACAGGCTGCCCACACCTGTGGGTGCTGTGGCTCCATGCCCCACTGTCCACCATCTTCCTTCCTGTCACTCACAGATTAACCGGTGATCTCAGCTCAGTACAGACGGGTCATTTTTGTCTGGTGTCAGATTGTGATCTGTCTGCCCAATGTAACCTTAAGATTATTATTTAAATAACAAAGGAAGGGAGAGATACAGTTGAATCTTTTGACTCCTGTTGTAAATTAAGAAAATAATTGATTTCAGAAAGACTATGAATAATGCCAGGGAGTTAGAAAGATCAGGTTCAGATATTGACTTAGAAATTGCTTCAGTTCTGAAAAGTTCTCATTAAATTTCTATTCTGGATAGCAGCCCAGACTTCATTTCCACCAGTGCTTTTAAGCCACTCGATTCCATGTAAGGCCCACAGCCACACTGCCTATGGTTTCAAGCAGGGGCTTCCATGGTGTCAGTAGATCGGAGAGGGAAATAGACAAGCTAGCATGTTAAATTCAGCCTCTGCTGTTGATTCATCAGGATCCCCTCTCAGAGGGCCATGATTACATGCCTCTTGCACCCATTTTTTAACAAACTTACATAAATAGGTTTTTGTTTTTTCAAAATCCAAGGTGGTTCATTCATGATCCCAATGAACAATGTTAGCCACTGATTACCAAGTACCTACTGTGTTGTACCTACTATGTATCTAAAGATTTAGGGAATATTTATAATCTTTTAACTCAAGGGTGATTTTAAAAATATTTAACAAACTGTAAGGCACAAACATCAACCATTACTAAAACCAGCTTCCCTGGTGTTGGGTAAGGAGATATTTGGAAGAATTCTTCACTCTGAAAATACTTGTCTCCTAAAGCTTGTAAATGAACCTTAGACAATAAAAAAAAAATGAGATTCCTTGTGAAACATCAGGCAATTTGGAGAGTGTTTTGAAGAAGGCAGATCGCCTGCAGAGACCCAGGGTGGTGTAGGAACAGCAGAAAGCCTGCCTGTGAGCCACACTCTCCCAGGAGAGAAAGTTCCAGCAGTTCCCTTCTCCATCCTCGTATGGACTGAAAAACAAGAGTAAGAGAGGGCAGCGTACAGCAGTGCAGTTTGCCTAATGCCCATCACAAGTGACTACCTTCCATGTTCTTAAAATCAGCATGACTGGGTGAAGTCAGCTCTTCCCCATGTTGTCCCTTCTACTAAAGAAAATAACATTGCACAGAATATGCTTTGTTCTCTAACATAAATGTATGGCTTCTTTGTCCTAGTCATAATAATCAAAGATAAATATTAGGCTTTTTGCTTTTTTAAAGAAAGGTCTCTCATGTTGCTAGATGTGTGATATTTAGTTGTGAAGACATAAAAATGCACCTTGTGTCTTGAGCATTAATTAACAGGCTGGCTGTGGCTGTCCTCAGTCAGGACTGGGTTGACATGACCTTTTGAGGCCATCCTTTCTGCTGCCAAAATGTCACCACACAGTTATTATTTTGAGTTTTGACAGAATGCATTTTGTAAGAGGTGAAGTTTGCAGTGGTTTTGTTATAAAAAAAAAGAAAAGAGGCAAACGTAATTTCAACAACAGGAAATTTTAGCGGTGGTTCACAAAGAAACCCAGGGCTTTCCAGAAAAGTTTAATTATTACATTATTGTTTGTTGTTTTATTCCCCTCATAGTTAATATTGTCTTTAGTTTTTCCATACAACACCAAATTTTTACCAGTATTTCTGCAGATGCATTTTAAAAAACAACATTTGCTACTTTTCCAGTAACATGGAAACTCATGTTATATAAGTAATAAAAGTTTTCTTTGGGAGAAGAAAAGATCAGTATTTGTTTCAGATGTATATCAGAGAATTAGGTTAGAAAAGCAAATAATGATGATTTTTATTCACATTTATTCCATTTTCTTGCAGAGAGTCCCCTTCTAATTTTCTCTAAATTTCTGCTAGCTCTTCTGTTTTGCTCAAATAATGTAAAAGGAACCAATCCCCTTTTTTTGTCTACTATTTTTAAAGAAATACTGCACTTAACTAAATATAGGCTAAGCATTTCCAAAACATGTACTGAGGAAAAACACCAAGGTCAGGATGTTTATAGAACTGGTGGAAAATCCTGGAGGATGGTCATTGACTCATTATTTTGGGGATGACTTTTGCTTTTGCTGTGTTTTTCAAAAATCTTGCCAACCTAAGTTGACTTATCAAAAGCAGTTTAAACCAACATATTTATTTGCCATACATCTAGCAATTTCATCTTGCTGGAATATTTCTATCCACTGGAGTAGAATGCATATGCTAGTTGTCTCCTTTGTTCAGCTGACAAGTATATTTGAGTCCTCTCTAGATGTCAGGCTTTAAATGTTATTTTTGGCATGTATGTTTTTTGAAATTGAGGTGAAATTTGCATCACAAAATTAATCAATTTAAAGTGAACAAGTCAGTGGCTTTAGTACATTCATACTATTGTATAACCATCACTTATTCCAAAACATCTTCATCACCCCAAATTAAAACCTCCCGCCCCTTAAGTGGTTGCTTCCCACTGTCCCCTCCCCTAGATCCCCGGTAACTACCAATCTGCTTTCTGTCTTCTTGGATTTTTCCACTCTCTAGCATGTTAAATTCAGCCTCTGCTGTTGATTCATCAGGATCCCCTCTCAGAGGGCCATGATTACATGCCTCTTGCACCCATTTTTTAACAAACTTACATAAATAGGTTTTTGTTTTTTCAAAATCCAAGGTGGTTCATTCATGATCCCAATGAACAATGTTAGCCACCGATTACCAAGTACCTACTGTGTTGTACCTACTATGTATCTAAAGATTTAGGGAATATTTATAATCTTTTAACTCAAGGGTGATTTTAAAAATATTTAACAAACTGTAAGGCACAAACATCAACCATTACTAAAACCAGCTTCCCTGGTGTTGGGTAAGGAGATATTTGGAAGAATTCTTCACTCTGAAAATACTTGTCTCCTAAAGCTTGTAAATGAACCTTAGACAATAAAAAAAAAATGAGATTCCTTGTGAAACATCAGGCAATTTGGAGAGTGTTTTGAAGAAGGCAGATCGCCTGCAGAGACCCAGGGTGGTGTAGGAACAGCAGAAAGCCTGCCTGTGAGCCACACTCTCCCAGGAGAGAAAGTTCCAGCAGTTCCCTTCTCCATCCTCGTATGGACTGAAAAACAAGAGTAAGAGAGGGCAGCGTACAGCAGTGCAGTTTGCCTAATGCCCATCACAAGTGACTACCTTCCATGTTCTTAAAATCAGCATGACTGGGTGAAGTCAGCTCTTCCCCATGTTGTCCCTTCTACTAAAGAAAATAACATTGCACAGAATATGCTTTGTTCTCTAACATAAATGTATGGCTTCTTTGTCCTAGTCATAATAATCAAAGATAAATATTAGGCTTTTTGCTTTTTTAAAGAAAGGTCTCTCATGTTGCTAGATGTGTGATATTTAGTTGTGAAGACATAAAAATGCACCTTGTGTCTTGAGCATTAATTAACAGGCTGGCTGTGGCTGTCCTCAGTCAGGACTGGGTTGACATGACCTTTTGAGGCCATCCTTTCTGCTGCCAAAATGTCACCACACAGTTATTATTTTGAGTTTTGACAGAATGCATTTTGTAAGAGGTGAAGTTTGCAGTGGTTTTGTTATAAAAAAAAAGAAAAGAGGCAAACGTAATTTCAACAACAGGAAATTTTAGCGGTGGTTCACAAAGAAACCCAGGGCTTTCCAGAAAAGTTTAATTATTACATTATTGTTTGTTGTTTTATTCCCCTCATAGTTAATATTGTCTTTAGTTTTTCCA